CATTCTGCAGGCTGAGTGCTGTGTTCTCTTCATGGTCTAGAACCTGCAACAGTGCAGGGTTAGACACGGTGGCATTCTGCAGACTGAGTGCTGTGTTCTCTGTGGTCTACAACCTACAACAGTGCAGCGTTGGACACAGTGGCATTCTGCAGGCTGAGTGCTGTGTTCTCTTCGTGGTCTAGAACCTACGACAGTGCAGGGTTAGACACGGTGGCATTCTGCAGGCTGAATGCTGTGTTCTCTTCGTGGTCTAGAACCTGCGACAGTACAGGGTTAGACATGATGGCATTCTGCAGGCTGAATGCTGTGTTCTCTTCGTGGTCTAGAACCTGCGACAGTGCAGGGTTAGACGCGGTGGCATTCTGCAGGCTGAGTGCTGTGTTCTCTTCATGGTCTAGAACCTGCAACAGTGCAGGGTTAGACACAGTGGCATTCTGCAGGCTGAGTGCTGTGTTCTATTTGTGGTCTAGAACCTGCAACAGTGCAGGGTTAGACACAGTGGCATTCTGCAGGCTGAGTGCTGCGTTCTATTCATGGTCTAGAAGCTGCAATTGTGCAGGGTCAGATACCCTTGGTCATAGATCGGATATATTCTTTATATAAATTTTTATTCGATGGCAAAAATATTTTCAATAAAAAATTTTCAGCAGGAAGGGTTGGCAGAAATATTAACAGAACAAGAGAATATGCATGGTCTCGACATATAAGGGTTTTATCATTAACTAGGGAACACAAGAGGATAAAGGCTTGTTTTCCCAGGTGAAGAACTGAAAAAAAAGTTCTTTGGAAAAATAACTAAAAGCATAAAAATACTGTTTACCTAATAGGTTTGCTATGATAAAGGCAGTAATTTTAATAAAAACTACAGCAGGGCTATCTATGAAAGGTCCAGCACATAGTTCAACTTCATTTCCCAGCCTCCTTTGCAGTTAGGTAGAACCACATGACTGAGATGTAGCCAATAGAGAGAAAGCAGAAGTGACCTGTGGGACTTCTTGATTGGCTCAGGAGATGGGTTCCTAACTCACCTACTGTAAGGTCGCCTGCCACAGACTTCTTAAGACTTTACACATAAAACGCCAAACTTCTATGATGTTAAGATGTGAGGTTTTAGAGTTCACTTATTATACCCACCACCTTGTACAGGAACTAAATGGAATTTCATCAACTAGCACTGTAGTTGTGTTCTATAAAGTTGCTGTGGACACTGCATGTGATGGTTAACTTCATGTGACAGTGTGACAGGCCTGGGGGACTCCAAGATTATTATGAGTGTCTATCAGGGTACTTCTGGTAGAAGTAACATTTGAACCTGTAGACTTAGTATAGACCTCCACTCCGGTGGGGGTGGGCATCACGGTTTCCACCGAGGGCAGAATAGAACAACGGAACTCACAGCCAGCAACACTGTAGCTGGGGCCTGAATGAAGCTTGCACAACACCCTCTCCAAGGGCACTTACAGCTTCCTTGAGTTTCAGAGCACCCCACAGCGCTTAAACACTCAGCTTGGGCACGCCTTCACACTCCAAAGAGCACAAAACCAAAGTGGGGCATTAAATAAACTGTGAGAAGGAGGCTGTTTTGAGTGACAGAGAGGGAGCAAGGCAGAAGATGCCTCGTTCAGCCTCATCTGGGAACACTTGAGTTGGGTCCTTCAATTATCACCACTCCCCTCCTGCTTAGGCATGACCATGGAAACACCCGGGAGTACTTGTTTTAGAGCTGAGTCAGTGAGTCTGTAAATATGATAGTCAGCCTGAGACGGGGTGGGTGCTGGTTGGTCATCTATGGATTCGACATGCTTGTTCTGTCTACCAATGTCCCTCTAACTCTCCTCAAGTCGTGTAAGGTCCTGAGTCTCCAGTATGCGCCAAGCACAGTTCTAGGATTGTAAAACATTGCTTTACCAAACCTTCCCACCAATCAGACAGTACATGCAAACATTGCTGTGCAATGGACAGTCCAGTTTGATTTCAGCTCATGCAATGTCTACCAGCTTTCAGAAGACCTCAGAAGTGGTCCAGGACTCACATCCTCAGCTTGGGCCATACCACATCCTTCATTAAGCTTACTGTTTGCATTGCTTATGTTGCTTTGATTTGCAAAGATTTAATAATGCTTTTCAGGCCGGAAGAACCACAGGGTGAGACTAATCCTTTGCTTCCCTCTCCCTGAGCCCTTGTTCTTTTCCTGACTTTGTCCCAGGAAACTGGGGAGCAATTATGCACCTGACTGGGACTTTCTAAAATCACAGGGCATAATTTCCCAAAGTTTGCGATTAAAGAACATTTTTATGTGTGGTGCTTCACGGCTGTGGAGGCTTTTTCTTGACGGATTAATCATTAAGCGATTTTCTTGAGACGCGCTTGTTAGAATCTGACAGTTAAGAATGCCAAGCTCCAGGAAGTCACAGGCTGTGCCAGTCAGCTCTGTGATGTTTCATGCTCTCCACACCCATTAAAAGTTTTATTTTGTTCTGAAATATATTCAAAATGCTTAAGATATTTAAAAAAAGCCAGATATCCAAAGGCTTATACTTTCTCCCAACTCATGAAATAACCAAAAAGCAGCTTTTACACACACACACACACACACACACACACACACACACACACACACACACACACACGAGGGAGATTTGAGCGGAACAGATTGCTCCGTGCTCCCGTCTTGAGACTCACACAGACCTGGGTTCCCAGTCTGCATGGCTTCTTCCCTCGACATTTTATCTGGAAAATGAGTGCTCTGAGGCTTCATTCTTATCTTAAACAGAGTTCACAGGGCAGGTCCTGTGTACGAAGACCATCACACAGGTCCCAGAACACATCTGCCGCACTCAGCACCACCACCACGAACAGTTAGCATAAAATCCAAAGGAGGCTGGAATTGCATGGAAGGCAACTGCACTTCAGTGGAGTGGGGGCGAGCATAATAAGCAAACCTTTGGTAGAAATGACTGAGTATTCAAAAGACAAACAGGTGACTCTGAGATCTGTCCTTGTTAGCAGGAAGGACATGGGGACAGAAATGTCTGCCTATGGGAAGGGCAGGGGACTCAGGACACACAGGTGCTTGCCTGGTACTCACTACTGTCTCTTACCTGGGATGAGGTAGAAGTTTGTCATGTGGTCACCCACTATCTTTAGACACATTCTCTATAAAACACAAGAAACTCCCCAAAGTACGAGCCAGCTAGAAGCCAGGACCCCCCTTTTCAGCACTCCTTGTAAATAGAAAGCAGGCTGTGGCCATAGACTCAAATAATATTACACAGAGGTTAATGGGGCGAGGCCTGGGTAAGGTGTGGAGAGCCTTCCTCCCTCAGCTCACAATAACTGGTGCTACATAGAAATGCAAACCCAGTATTGGCCAAAACTTACTCTCTCCAGAAGAAAAACCACATATTCGGGGTTTTTTTTAAATTCCATTTTGGAATGTGGGTAAGTACAGTTTTCTGTTGGTATCTGAAAGGGCTGGTTCCAGGAACTCCCATGGATACCAAATTCTCAGACATCCAAGTCCTTATATTTATTAAGTGGTATATGCAGTCTATTTGTATGTAACCTGCACACAGCCTTGGGATAGTTTAGCTTAGATCTTCTCTAGATTACCCATAATAACCTAATGCAATGCAAGATCTGTGCAAACAGCTGTTGCACTGCAATGTTCGGGGAATAATGACAAAGAGGGAAAGGGTACGGATGGACAGACAGGTATGTGTGTGTGTGTGTGTGTGTGTGTGTGTGTGTGCGCGCGCACGTGCGCGTGCGCATGTTCTCAATTTTTGGTTGGTTTGGCAAGCAGATGCAGACAGAGCACATGGGTGTAGAGGGCTGCCTGCAATTCTAAAAGCGCCTGCATGCCCCAGTGGCTAACGGAAGCTGTGTGTCACACAGCTCTCACAAACTGCCATAGTGTAGACTCTTTTCAATGAGCTCTGGTTTCATAGGGTGTGGATCCCTACCTGACACAGGTGACACACTATCCCTCTGTCACCCCTGCGTCCCCTTCTTTGTTTGTTTGCATGGCCAGCCATCTGTGTTCATTCAGAATGAGAATTTGAGAATAAGGTTTTCACACATGCACACCCTCTCTGTCTCTGTCTCTGTCTCTCTGTCTCTCTTTGTCTCTGTCTCTGTCTCTCTCTCTCTCTCTCTCACACACACACCACTGCTTTGTCTTAACACTTCTCCTTTGAGTTTCTTCAGTTTGTTGGCTCATGAAACCAGATGGAAGAATAGTGATATGTTTCCTCTGAACTAATGGGGATGAATGAACTCCAGAGGTAATTCACACTTACACTGCTTCAGCAGGCCTGTCCTATCTAAGGACCAGTCACTTAAGTGTGTTGATCTCAAAGGCCCTGCAGCCGGGACAGCACACTCCTAACCTCTAGGCAAACACAGTGAGAATTAAGGATCCTCAAAACACCTGAATTCCCAAACCTGTACATACAACAAAGGGGTTTTATGATTTAAAGCTGGTCTCGGCAAGGGAAGGGATTTGAAAGAGGCAGGAAGATGTGAACATCCTTCATAAGTGTTGCTTAAGGCCAGCATCCTTTGTGAGGCTGAATTGACATGGAGGAAAGGTCAAATGTCATTCTGTTTACTGTCACGCTAAAAAAGATAAAACTGCAGGAAATTGGTACTGATGTAGGAGTCAGTCATCAGAAAATCACTTTAGAATGAGAGGTGTGTGTATGTGTATGTGTGTGTGTGTGTGTTTAAATACTCACTTTCTGTGGAGATTCAAGAGTGAATTCTGTCAGTTTTATCACCTAGTTAGAATCTATCTGCTTTTCTCCCTGCTGCACATAGCCAGGCAGGCCTCCCAATAAGTGCTCAGCTACTGAATGAACAATCAGATGAACTAAGGAACTAGGGGAAGAATGGGAAGAATGGAACTGTCTACAAATGTGTGTGTCAACAAGACCTGCATTAACTGTGTGTCAAAAGACACTGAGTTAAAAACGATCTCTCTTTTTTTTCTTTTGCAGACCAGAAACTACTCTCTTGGAACCATTCATAAGCAAGAGACACCAACACTGTGACATATGCCGGTGCCACCACCACCACCACCACCACCGCCACCTCCTCTGCCTCCACCTCCTCCACCTCTGGGGGCTCCTCCCCCTCCACCCCCACCAGGGCCCCCGGTAAGGCCTGTTTGTTTTCCCTGTGTCTCCCTGTGGAGCTCCTGCCTCTGAATGATCTTGAACAGGAGATTGGTGTTGGGATGCTGCTGGTGCAGGCTCCCAGGTGACAGGCACTCCTTAGGATTCTGACTCTGGCTGCTTTGGGGTGTAATCAGTCTGGACTAAACGTTTCTCTCCCTCCCCTGCTCCCCCACACATCTCATTTCCACCTTTCTTCAGTCTCCACGATTCCCCCCCCCCACTCAGTCCCCACCACGTGCTGCAGGCTTTCCCAGTCTCCCTAAGTGACCTTCCGTCTCGCTAGACGCTGGTGAAAGCCTCCTGCTAAAGCCAGGCCCATAAGACACTGAGAAGTCAAGTCTAGGTGGGGTGTTGTGCAGAAGGTGATGATGATACCCTGGCTTCGGTCCCCCAGGTCTAAGTCCATCGAGTTACATGTTGGGTTGAAAGCTACAGGGAAATGGGACTCACCGACAGAAATCCCTGTGTCTGAAGCAATGAAGCTAGTCTACTTCTATCCAGGCTATACTTTTAGTTTAATCATTGGATTTGCGTTAGAAGAGTGCCACGGAGGGTGGCTGTTCTGTTCTGGAACAGAATTCAACCTCAGCACCAGTGACACTGAGACAGACTAGCTGGGGTGGGGAGTCGCTGAGCTGTATATTTTAGGATACTGTTTAACAAGATCCTCAGCCTCTGCCTATGCCATGCCAGTAACACCCCTCAAGTGCGGCAATAAGAATATTCTCAGATACTGCCTGGTGGAGGGAAAATATAGACAGAATAGGAATAAGCACTGAAGTTTCACTGCTGAGCTTGACCCTGCATGCTCAAATTCAAGGTCATCACTACGTGGTGATGAACAGTTTGTAAATCAAGAAAACAAGGGAGAAACTATTGATGGATCCTAGATAAGAAATAATCCACCTATAGCGAGAAAGCAGGATCCATCTACTTGTTTGACATTGGAGGTTTTAGAACTGGCCAGAGTGTTGGAATCAAGTCTTGGAAACTGTGTGTGTGTGTGTGTGTGTGTGTGTGTGTGTGTGTGTGTGTGTGTGTGTGGTTTTTCAAGACAGAGTTTCTCTGTGTAGCACTTGCACTATATACCAGGCTGACCTTGAACTCACAGAGATCCACCTGTCTCTGCCTCCCAAGTGCTGGGATTAAAGGTGAGCACCACCAGAACCCAGCTCAGGTCTTGGAACTCTTAATGACTACTAAAATTATTATGTCCTAAGAGACAATTTTGTGGTATTGACCAAACAGTTTAAAAAACAAATGTGCTCTATGTTCTAGACAATCTTTCTTTAAGAAATTAATCGTGGGAGCTAGTGAGGATGGAGGACACCGAGGAAACAAGTCCCTCTTGACACAACAGGACTGACACATGCCTACGAACTCAGAGACTGTGGTGGCATGCACAGATCCGTCAGATGGGGTCCCAGCACTGATGGGGAAAAGACACAGGCCCGCATTTCTAACCTGTTAGTTATCTCCCTCTGGTAACAGCTCACAGAGGGAAACTTAGTTTTCTCAATGCAGTTTCACTGGGTACACAAACCACACTTAGGGCAGGCCCCATGCCAAGCAGTGGATGCCAACACAACAAACTCAGTGGTGTTTTGGGAGTGCTTTTGTCACACAGTTCTTTGTCTGGACATTTTTTTAACCTTATAGATCTTTTGCTTGTATATCATGGCTTCTGATTCGGCTTTTATAGGTTTTCTGTGTGTGTACATGTGTATGTCTCGGCATCTATATGTGTTTCTTGCATTTTTTCTTTGGCTTTTTTTTCCTGTTTGCTTTTTGTTTTGTCCTATTCTGTTTTGTTTTGTTTGTTTATTTGTTTGTTTTTGTTTTTTTTAGTTTTGGGATTATTATTATTTAGATAGCTATTTGTATTCTAATGATCCAGAGAGAAAGGGTGTGGCTTTGGGTGGGTGGGAGAGTGGAGAGGATCTGGAAGGAGAGTTGGAAGAGGAAAAAATGTAATTAGAATATATTGCATGAAAAAAATCTAGTTTTGATTAAAAGATAAAATATTGTGAAAATAATAGACATTTCTGATATTCTGAAAAAAGACTATATAGCTATATGACATTAATAATTAGATTACTTGTAATGGTAGCCAAAAAAGAAATTAAATTTTTTAATTTGCAGGAGAGTCAAAAATTGTTTCCCAGTACACAATACAGCATGCTAGATCTTCATTAAAAATCATACTCCAATTAGTATATAATTTCCAAAGTACAATTGATTCAGGAAGGTTGCCCAGGAAACCTGTGGGCACCAAGTTCAGAGTCATTGGGGGACATCAAGATGACCCAGGGGGTTAAGGCATTTGTTGGGCAAGCCTCAGTGTGGTCCTTAAAACCCACAAAAAGGCAGAATGAGAGAACTGATTCCCCAAAGCTGTTCTCTTATCCTCTCTCTCTCTCTCTCTCTCTCTCTCTCTCTCTCTCTCTCTCTCTCTCTCTCTCTCTCTCTCTCCCTCTCTCTCTCTCTCACACACACACACACACATACTCTCACATTCACACAACACACTCTGTCACACACAGTCTTACACACACACACACCGATAATGACAAATGAGTTTTGAGTTGCTGGGCAAAGAATGCTGTTGAGATTCTAAGCATCTCACAGATTCCATCTCTTTTTTTTTCTTCCATGTTGGGGACCAACCCATGGCCCACCCTTAGTGAACCGTGGCTGTGCTACAGAGCGGCACCCCACACAGCCCTTTCTTACCTACAGATCATGCGGGAAACTGTGCCTCTAAATTGCATCCCCACTAGGATAACCTTACATCACAAGCCATCTGCCGCCACACAGCGAGAAGCGCAGTCACAACCTGCGTAAGCAAGCACTCACACACATCTAGAATGTGGGCAAGCTGTGACCAAGGTGCTTCCCAGCCCAATAGCTGGGGTGAAGAATTGAAAGGAAAATATTTTATGATGCATAAAATGACATGATATTCAGATTTTAGCTCATAAATAAAGTTTACTCATTTGCACATCATCAGTGCCTGTGTTTCTGCTATATCGCTGACGCAGCAACCAAGGAAAATGTTATTTGACCAAAAGGAACTCCCTTATCGTTTGTGGACCTGTGTCTTAATAATTGATTTATTTATTTCAATTTGGGCAATAAATATTTTGTGGAAATTATTTCTCTTTTGCTACAGACAGTCACATAGGCTAACTTTCATTTGGCCCCTTAGCCTACAATCCCTGGAATATTTACTGTCTGGCCCCTTCCGGGGACAAGTCACCAATACCTGTCCTGCAGCCAGCTGGCCTTGTTGAGCCTCCCGTGTCTCTCCAGCCACCAGCATCTCAGCAAGCTTACATCATGTGTTGTCCTTCTCTGCATTCCCTCTCAGGGACTTCCCATGGCCTTTGACAACCTGGGGCCCGCCTCCCTCTCCAGCTCCCCCTGAACCTCCCCCCACCGTGGTCTTTATATGGATGTTCCTTCCGTCTGGAAGAAACGTTCTAATAAAATCCAAGCTGAGGTCCAATCCACTGACCCCGCTGGTTTCTGTACTTATTTTCAAAGCCCTCCTTTGGAGCAGTAAATGTTTTTAACTATGTTTTTATTTTATTAGTGTTTACATTTATTTAATCCTGCATTTTTTGTCTCTGGCTTGACATAGACATTCAGATTATGAAGGTAGGAAAGGAAGAAATGAAGAGAGGGATGGAGGAGGGGAAGAGGAAGGTGAGGGGAGAGAAGAAAGGAAGGAAAGAAGGAAGAGGAAGGATGAATGAACAAATGAATGAATGAATGAATGAATGAATGAGACAGGAAATTGTAACTGGAGGTTTCTCTCCCACTCACCAGTTCCCAAATTACCACTCAGAGGTTTACATTAACTACAAACTGTTTGACCTATTAGCTCAGGCTTATTATTAACTAGCTCTTACAACTTAAAATAACCCATTTCTATTATACTGTATTTTACCATGAGGCTCGTGGCTTGTTACCTCACATCTTGCTCCTCGGCAGCTGCTGGCGTCTCTCTGACCCTGCCTTCTTTTTCCTGTATTCAGCTTGACTTCTCTGCCTAGCTCTATTCTGCCCTGTCATGGGCAAAAACAGCTTCTTTATTTAACCAATGGCGATAAAAACATATTCACAGCACACAGAGGGGCATCCCACATCAGGAAATTAAAGACTGTATGAGTAAACAGAGTTAAGAAGCAGAGCTAAAGTTTTCCTAACTAATGGTCAGGGCTTTAAGCATTTGTTAAAATCCAAAACAAGGCCCTTATTCAGGACCCCAGGCACCATGGGAAGTAAGACTAAACTCAACCCTGAACACAGCCTGGACAATGGGAGTTTGTAGTCAAGGACCTGAAAAGATGGGTTGTGGATAAATAATTACTAAGAGGAAGCATGGCAGTGGGGGGCGTCATTGAGACTCTGGATAAATCTATCTGCTGTTGTTTGTTTATATGTTTGTTGCAGGAACCTGGAGCCTATGTGCGCTTGGCCAATCTTTACTAGTTAGCGACATCTCCAGCCGAGCGAACACGATAGGCATGGTAGAGTTTACGACCCTGATCAGAACCAAAACAATCAGATAGCTGGAGTTCAGGGTTCTTGGCAAACACATTCAACAAGGTTCCTTTTCAAAACTGGATTATTTTTTTAAGTGCACAGATGGGTCTAGAAGTTCCTGATGCCTGACCAAGTTTTAATAAGTTGTGAAGATTTCTCCTTCTCCCCTTTTACCATCTCCTATCCCCCAACTCCAGGCATGTGCATCTTTGATGCGGCAGGAGGTGGAGAGGGCTGTAGGGGTTTTAGCGTAAGCTTCTGCTCAGCCAGGCAGCTCTGGCCTAATGTCTCCGCCCTTCCCTGAAACCCCACACCCTGCCCAGCCCACTGCCACCTCTTTTTAGCTGTTCTCCTTTTTCTTGTACCTTTAAAATCCAGCAAGCTGTGCAAATTGCCTGTGGGGTGTGTTGACTCACTTATAGCTAAAT